GTTTTTATTTTAATTGTCCGAAGAAGCCTATATATATATATGTGTGTGTGTGTGTATGTATGTACTTTGTATATATATTTTAATATATGTACACTTTATGTAGTATGTTCGCACCTGGCAACAATTGTCCTTTGCACCCAGGGTTGACTGGCAGAGAATGCCATATGGCATTAGGTCCGCCCTACGTACCCTTTAGCTTAAAGTGTAAGTTTTAAATAAATAAATATATAAAAATAAAATAAACAATCACGTACGTTACCTAGAGAGGTAGGCAGAGACTACGGACTTCCATTTGGTACGATCCTGACACACATCTCTCCCCTCCTTTAGCACTTTCGTTTATTACTTCTAATCCGGCTTGTTTTTGCCACTTTGGTCAATAAAATTTCATCTTGGACGTGCCTTAATGACTCTACCGCTCACATCTGCAATATGAATTTGCTTTGTCACTCTTTACTCCTTCATTCTTTCTACATAACCAAACTACTGAAGGATTCCTTTCCTAATCCTGGTCACAACATCATCTTGCAAACAACACATTCTCACCCGGTCATTCAGATTCAGCCCCAGCATACTTTTTATACATATTTTATATACGCTAAGTATAGTATTCTATTGATACTTAGTGTGTATATGGTTATTTCTGTAATTTTCTACGTTCTCTGCCTTGGTACTGTTACCTATCACTACCCTTAGATTGACTGGCAGATAATGCTTTTAGCATTAAGTCCGCCTTTTGAACATGCACTGCCGAAAAAATACGTCCTACAGCTGGGCACACGTCTCCTGTCATTCCTGAGAGAGCTGCAGGGCAACGAAATGACTCCAATTCATCTTCGAAATATATTTTTTTAATTTCTCAAATTTGCAGATTCAATCACGATGTTTTTCTTTACAGCCGATTATTATCGAATTTAAGATAATTAACGATTGGTAACGAATATAGGTTCATAAGGATCGAACCAGGGTTAAACGTGTTCACGTACTGTGAACTTTACAGCGAACCCTTGGCCCTATATAACAAGAACAGCTACTTAAGAATCACTAAGTTTGGTAATAATTTCTGCGGTGACAGTTTATTCGAATATCAAGAAAGAGCAGACTACGCTAGACATACACTTAGTCAATTTTTTCCGAGGTGAGCATAAAGGGGGCGGACTATAACTGTTGAAGTTGAGCCAGCGTTGGAATTAGTTGTAGTGGTAGTGTAGATATCAAACCTTCACCTGATTGCCTAGGAAAAGACGTGTCCGTACCTCTTCCAAATCACATGACTCTAGACTTATAAGACCTTACTCATAAAAATACATTAGTTTATTAATACATTAGTTAATATATTAGTTTAAATTTGATTTCTTTCTCCTCATTAAATGATAATAGAAAAAGACAAATATAGAGTTAATTAATACTTAAGTTAAGCAAGCTATAACCTTCGATTATAAAGTAACATTAAACAGTACCTGTTGCCAGTGATAACATATGGATCTGAGACGTGGTCCATAACTTATGGCCGTATAAGGAAACTGAAGATCGCTCAGAGGTATGGAGAGGGCTATTCTCGAAGTTTCCCTGCGTGATAGACTTAGAAATGAGGATATCCGCAATAGAACCGAAATAACCGGCATAGCCCAACAAATTAGTAAGCTGAAGTGGCAATGGGCCGCCCATATAGCTCGAAGAACCGATATAAAAGGGCGAAAAAGATTCTCGAGAGGCAACCTCGTACCGCTTAGCCAAGTGTAGAGTGGCCCCCCATTAGATGGATCGACGACCTGTGCGAGATTGCTTAAGGAAGGCTTATTTTCAAAGGGGACCCGTGATGGGTTGTAGTGAGGATGAAATCAATTTCCCCATTCGAAACTTTAACGTCATCATTATAAATGAGGAAATGATACTATAGTAATATAAATTGGTCTTTAATGTATGTTTATTTTAACGATAACTTGGTCTAGGTTACAATTACTAGGTTACTGATAACAGTGTTATATGAATATTTATTTTTTACTAGTTTTTACCCGCGGCAATCTTCGCTTAGAAATTAAACGATAAAACCTTCAGATTTATTATAGTGGTTTTTTTTAGCAAAACTTTCGAAAAATCATTTCAAACTTAGTTCTTTTTTGCGATTATTTCGAAAACTATGAGATTTAAGAGAAAATGATAATAATAATAATTAACATTTCTATTAATTCTACGTAAAAATATTCTATCAATGTAACCTTAAACTTTCATAGTTACGTTACAAAATGACGTTGAAGTAAAAAAAATTGATTTAAATCGCTACTGAAACTTTAAGAACTTTCAGAGAAGATTTTTTATAGGATAGGGTGACAAACGATAACACAGTTCACCTGGTGGTAAGTGGATCACATGTTTTACGACTTTTGCACAAGCGGTTATATCCATACCTTTGTCATCATCATCATCACCATCATTATAGTCCAGTTCACAAGTACACTACTGAATATAGGCCTTCCACAAGGAATGCTACAAAGCACATCTATCCTCGATTACGAATCAAGATGCAGATGCGTTGTCATCCGTGAGGACTAAGATGGAATGCCTCGTTTACCCCATTAACTCTGCTACCGATCTAATCAGATCATACAATACCTACCTTACATCGGCTCTGGTACGGGTCGAATTAGATCAGGTCGGATCAGAAGTACTGCCTTATGAAAAAACTATTTTTTCCTTTAAAACAAAACCAAAGACAATATGCAATAGATAATAGTATCAAAGACAAAGATATGCTCTTTTATTTTAAACCTGGCAATGTTTCTTAGAAAAAAAAAAAAGAAATCACTCTGAACTTTCGGCGTTCCACGTGTCGTTTTGATGAAGGTGCTCCGTCTTTTTTATAGAATTTTATATTTGTGTCTGGACTAAAAACGAAAGTATTATACTTTTTTATATTCCTTGTAATATAGTGAACACGTAGATATATAATTTGTGGTATAAAAAGTGAAAAGTAAATTGCCAAAAGTACTTCAAAATCTGGAAGACCCATTTTGGCGGTTGGGTCATAAATGTGTTATTTTTCAAATTCTCATTTATTTTTAGTGTAAAATGTAAGTAAAAATAGTTTTCTTACATATTTCAAATAACTTGACGTTGTATTTATTTCAAATTCACACATAATTATTTTTGAAATATTGTTCTAAATGTCACACAGATAAAATATTATTATTGTTTTTTTTAATTTTTTAATATTTTAATATTTTGGTATGAGTAACGAATGGAAACATATAAAACATAAAAATATACATATTTCCAAACATTTTCATATAAATTTCTCCAAAAACAAAAAGTGTAGAATTCAAATTAGTAGTAATTTTGTCACTAAAATTGAAGTATATGCTACTACTATGCTATACAGGGTAATTTATGTATTTTATTACAATTTCTAGCAACCAAAAATAATTTTATTCGATAGTTTATACATTCTACAAGAAATCCTGTAAGTTTTATCCATAAATATTGTCTCAAAGTGAAAATATAGCAAAATTTGCAATATAGCATTTTCTAACTTACAAATTTTCCCGCCATTAAGGTCCCGAGCGAACGGGAGTATAACATGTCGCGCGCTGTCAGAGCCTGGGAGTTACAGTAAAAAGGGTCTCCGGTTTTCTACACTCGCCATAGGAAACTGACTAAAACTTAAGCTACTATATTTATTACGCTTTATTACGCTGGTGTTCTGTGAGAGCATCCTCCTTCCCCGGTCGAGTCGACTCATTCGTGTTACAACCATACTACTAATATAATTGTAGCATGTCTCTACCTCCCGAAAAGGGTAGGGTCTTGATTTGAGTAAAATTATAAACCATAAAAGTTTTGTTCGAAACTATTTTCATATTTCTTAAAATGTTTGAGAAAATCATCAAAACCAATTCATTTTATGTTTTACGATTAAACAAAATAAATCTTGCATAGTTTTCGGATAAAATATAGCCTATATGGCGTTGCTCTCTATCCGTTCGTGAAATTTCATCACAACCGGTTTAGTTACACCGCGGATTAGCCCGAACAAACATACAGACAGACAAAATGTTTCAAAAGTTATTCATGTTTCAAAAACACACAAAAACCCCGTGAGCTTAACAGCAGCTAGTTTAGATTTTACATACAGACACATAAATGTTATTTATATGTGTAGATTTATACATACTATCCTATAATAACGACAGTCTACTACAAATCTATAATGAGTACCTACCTATTGGCAATAAATTTATTTTTATTGAAACAGTATTTCTGAACAAAAATGTTTCGTGTTTGCATTGTTATAATAGCTTATAAATTTGTTTTATGTAATACTAAAATACAGATCTTTGTAAACACGGCCTCAAACAAGGAAGATGTTTTTGTACATTACTATGGTATAGATAGAAAAATAATAACCGATATGGAAGTGAAGTTGTTTAATATTACAGACGAATTATTAATTTAAGGAGAGGTTTGAAAATAGAACTTGGTAAGGTACCCGATAATATATTTATGAAAGATCCCACGCTCTATAGTAATTTATACCAAAATACAAATGGAAGAAAATCGAAAGAAGCTTACAAGTAAAAAATGCAGAAGTAGTTGATGTAATAAATGTAAATACTATCATAAAAACATATTAACATATAAACAACACAACAAACACAATTCAATCAAAAGTTTCGATTATTGAAATAATAGAAAACACAATATCTTCATTTTGGTCCGAAGAAGGTTTGCCCGAAGGTGAAATTTGCTTTGATATCGATTATAACTTTAAAGGACGAGCAGTATCGTACCATAATCGATGGAGAAAGGATTATTTACAAAACGCATCTCAATCATTTGGCGTTTCAAAGGATGGTTTTACAAATATTCAGTCAGGGCAACGAGTAACGACGAGATTAAAGGGAACCCAAACAATCCTGCTTATCAAACTCAATTACGTTGCGAGTTTAGTTGGTAACTTGGTAGTAAACTATGCTCATGTTTACGGTAAATACCATTTTTAGGCCCCAAATGTCAATGATATAAAGAAAGCAGCCGGCATCATTAATGAAATAATTACAACTGAACTGACAGAAGTGCGGTGCTACAACGATCCAGTTCTAGAGATATTCGATAGTTTAACAGAAAAACCAATGCGTATAGTCACACCACCAACGCCATTCCATGTAAGACCTAAATCGAGATATTCTAATAAAGTACAAAAGGCTCACCCAAAATAATCAAGTGAAAACTATTGTCATACAGTGAAACGCACATAATTTTTCCATTAGACATGTGTCAATCATTCATTTCTATTGACCGAATCCTTCTAGTACATTTTGTCACTCGTATCCATTAGAAATGAACGATCGTATATTCCGATCGGTCATTCAAATGGATCATTTCAGGAATCAGTACTCTTTGAGTCTGTGAGATCCATTCGGAACCGGAAATTTTCTATTTGAGATTTATAATAGCGCCATCTACTACATGCTATAGGTAATAAAGTCATTTTATCGAACTAAAACTTATTGACCTTCAAGGTGGTAAGTATAATCGACGCTAGATAACATAAATACAAAAACCTTAAGTGATTCAATTGATTTGATTTGACTTTGATTGGTAACTTTATTCAATATATATTATTATAAATATTTAATAAATTTGTTTATTTTTAAATTTCATTCCTAACAATACACAATTTCATCTTACTTTATATGTCTAAAAATAGGGATTGTAACATTTATTTGCAAGAAAATTAAACTTTTACCTATTTTATACTTATATAAGGTGGTTGGAAATTATCATTTTAAATAAATCTTTTGCCATGAAATCTTTTGAAGTTTTATATTTAGTAAACTCCACGAAATGATATTTTTAACTCATAGACCTAACAAATAAATATAATAAAACGTAAAATAATTTTTAATTTAGGTAACAATATTATAATAAAAAATCCTTAAATAATAAATACTCCTGATACTCTGCAGTCTGCATTGTTTATTCGATTGGCCTGTTTATTCAGATCATTCGGGATTCGGTCGGTTTTTGGCTCATTCACAATTCATACGAATCGCGGGTTAAAAATTCATCGTCAATTGTTTGTAATTAGTTGTACTGGTACATTCAAAAACAAATGAATGAACCATCAATAATTTTAAGTGTTCCAGCTCAAACGAACGAATCATGCGTGATTGACACATGTCTATTTTTGTTTGGAGAATGGGCCCAGCACAAATTTTAAGGATTTTTAATGAAATGCATGTTGATTTGGTCCTTATAATCTATAAATTACAATAGTGTTATTAGTTTTACTGCATCTAAACGGAGAAATTAGTAATTAAATTATGAATCTAACAACATCCTAAAAGCAAACTGAAAGCGATTTTCTAGTAGTTTTCACCGGTATTATAAGTTAAAATAGAACACTGTTGAATAATTATAGTACATATAAAACTAAGTTGTAGGTATATTCAGCATTTATAGGTACTTTAAGATCGATCGAAATTCTTTTCACTAATTCCGGCAAAATATAGTGCCTGTCTGTGCATAAATGTCGTATGAATTCTACATTTGACATGTTTTGATTGATTGTGAGTGTAAATTCCAAATACCATTAAAGTATTATGATAAAGCCAAGATGACTAAGAGATAGTATGTCCATTTATATTATTTATAATATTACCAACACACGGTAAGAAATATGTTTTAAAGTTGGTTGTATTACAAAAAATAAAATATAATGGAACTCTATTTATTACTGTAACTCATAATTTCTAAAGTATTCTATTAATAGTGGTACAGAAAGAGAAACTTTTTATTCAATATAGATTATTAATAATTGAAAAGGAACCAGACAAACGTTAACTAAGAAACAGAAGGGGGGAATCGAGGCTTCTCTCGATCCGGCCTCCTATAACGCCTACGTTGGGTTCGGGAACAACGTATGTGATCTCCGCAACGGAGTAACACACAAGGGCGATAACCTCTTCCTTTTCAGAAAATAGGTTCAGGCGGGGATTACGGGTCTTCCGAAGTCGTCCCGGTCCCAACGCCTTAATTCTTCGATATGGACTGTATTATTTTGAGGGAAGAATTCCTTGGGAATAAAACAGCAATTATCTTCAAACCGTTCCGTGAGAGAGTAATTACTTTTCCCTATCACTTCCCTACACTTTTTCTTTCTTCTTCTTATTGACTGCTGGTCTTGCACTTTTCCCGAAGTTTCTCCGAACTTCCCCGAACTTTCCCGAAGGATTCCCGAACGAATTGCAACGTTGATGTCTTCTTCATGTACATATGCACATGGAGGTTTCGGGCCTCGGGGTAAGCCCCCATTACCCGTGCTGTCCTCGCGGTCCACCACTATGGACCGGTCCTGGGAGCCTTCTATTGGCATTGTAGGTGTCAAAAATTCGGATTGTCCGTAATCGGTAAAATTTTTCGTAGCCGGTTAAGACTACGAAAAAGGAAGGTTATCCAGTAAAGTCAAGGTTGGCCTTTCAGCGGCATTGAGGGTTGTTACTCGACTCTCTAATCGATATAGAGAGGAGTTCTCTTGGATAGGGTCGCCCGTCCGGGGGGCGAGTGTGTAGCGGCGCAAAGTTGTTAAGGTGTATATGCGGCCCGTTGTCTGCGCGGTCGAACAGTCCGCGCGCCAACCGGGCCACAAATTCCTGTACGGTGTCGATCTTCAGGTTGGCCGCTATGACGTCATTCCGGACGTAGCGACCCGCACCGACGATGGTTCTTAACGCCATGTTTTGCTGGGCCTGCAGTCGCCGCCTCAGAGGCTCACTCAGAAGCGCGTACCAGGCCGGAGCAGCATAGGTGATGATGGCTCTGATATAGGTTTTATAAACACGCACTTTAGTATTAAGTGGTAACTTGGATGCCAGGACCGGACGTAGCATCGCCCGCGCACATCGTGCTCTACGGACGACGAGGTCGACGTGCGCAGTCATGCGCAGCGCCCGGTCGATCCGGCACCCAAGGTAGGTCACGGCCTTCTCGTACGCGATCTGCTGGCCATTGAGGGTTAATTGAGGTGGTAGGTTCCTGAGGCGGCGAGTGAGCAGAGCGGTCGTCTTACCAACGTTGACGACCATCCTCCACTCATCTAGCCATGGTGGCAAAAGGTCCAGAAGGCGTTGCATCCTGGCAGCGGCAATATGGGCTCTTCTGGAAGAGGTGAAATAAGCGCTATCGTCCGCATATAACGCCAATTCCACGTCGTCCTCCCATTCTTGCAGCCTGCCTGCCAGGGTCGGGATGTCGTTGGTATAAGCCGCGTACAGGACTGGAGACAAACAGCTGCCCTGAGGAACGCCGGCTCTGATGGTTCTGGTTGCGGACTCGGCGCCCTCTACGCAGACGTAGAACTTCCGTCTGCCAGGAAAGACGCCACTAGCCGCAACATAGCAGGAGGGACACTGGTCTGTTCTTCCAATTTAAAAAAGTAATCCAGAATGCCACACCCTGTCGAACGCCTTCTCGATATCGAGAAAGACGCCCAACGAATTGCAAGAAAACTCGTTTACTGAGCTACCCCAGAGCTATACGCGAAAGTGAGCCGCGCCATTTGTGCGCTTGCGCAACTCAATTACATCAATTTGTACTATCACTCTCTCACGGTTTACTCAATAACTTTATTTGTATAAGACATACATTTATAAAATTTACTTATAAAGATAGCACAAAAAAATATCTATACTACGATATACATTACATTTTTATATCACAAAAAAACCTTTTATTTATTTAACAAAATATGCTTATTTTACTCACATGTTCAAAGTTGAAATTTCTTAAATATTTAACATAGAAAGTTAAAACAATGTTTTCCACTTAAAATTATACATATCTTAACCAATACAATAGTTTAATTTACATTTTCTCTATACATTTCACTATCAAAACACTTTTAAATTTCTTATACAAAACTATTATTTCACTTATTCACAGGAATTTTCACATAAAAATAACACAGAATTCACCTCTTTTACACGTACAATCAATCTGAAATGTTTTACTAGTCATTTTTACATAAATTGCTGAAATTGCAAATATTTAAATTTCTACATATTTGGCCTCCTAAGTACGTGGCTAGCGTGTTTCTATGAACTCACATTATTTAACAACTAACTTTTGCACGGCTATCGACTATCATTAAAAATGGAAAGTTTAGTATACACTAATATCAACAATACTAGGTGAATAAATGATTCTACTCAATTCTCAAACGTTGAAAACTACCTCTAATCAGATTCTTATCAGTTATCATGTTTCTTATCAAACAATATAAGTGGATGTTTTCATAAATCAATCATAGAAAATAGGCATTTGTTTTCATACAAAACATATCAAACTCATATAAGACAATACTTATGCAATTAATTTCCATTAATTCTACTTATGCACAGCGATCACCGCGACCGGGGAACAAATCCTGGTCTCTAACTTTATTATAATATTTCTTTAAATTAACATTATTGGAAAGATGATTTTGACCGGGGAAAAAATCCGGTAACATAATTTGTATCTTAAAAATTTCCTATATGAATTTATTAAGAGATATTACTAAGAAAACGATAAACTATTCCGGCCTGGGAGTCGAACCCAAGACCTTCATATCATTAATTCGATATTTCTTTAAGATTCAACTAAGCATTTTCTTATAGGAATATTGTTGCTTGATAATTTGCTTTTTAGAAGCTATTTGTAATCAGTTAACTAATAAATTGAAATATTCTTAAAGGCGCGTCGCCAACAATAATACTTATTGAAAACCACTTTTTTTTTTAATTTACCACTGGTACGGAAAACCACTCTCTTGGGGAGAACCAGCAAGAATCTCAGGAGAATTTTTTTAAATAATACCTTACAATCGTGTATGTTACAGTTAATAACATATAACAAATTAGAAATAGCTTGGTAGCGCCCATAAATTCCTTATAGTATATATACAAACTTAGTTTAATAAAGTTTTTGAACTTTGATGATTGATTGAGATGGACAGACAGGAGCAGTGTCAAGACTTTGTTTTAATATGTTTTGGATGATTACTAAGTATTTCTAAACATCTCCTATATCATAATAAAATAACTGGGTAAAAACATGCTTATCTACGTAACCTTCTCAGAAATGAGAGGCCTGTGTGCCCAGCTGTGGGACGTATACAGGCTGTAACTTTAAAGAACATTTGAAAATGTTGTGATTATAATAATATATTCTTTTATTA